ATATATGTATAATTGTCTACGATGTTCATTCTAAGGAAGATTTACCTTTTAAAATACTACTAATATGACAGTCTAGTACTGCACTGTACAGTACTAGTAATATAAAGTCTAAAAGTAACTTTATACAACGTTAAAGTATTATCTCTTAATTTTTTCTTGATATTAAAGCTACAAAGAATTTAATTATTGGTAAACCTTATCCATGTTGAATAGATTTTGAATTAACTTTGAGACGCATTTCATTTCTTTATATCTTTGTTCTATAACACCTGGCATAAGACATTGACCCCGAGTTATTCTGATGCGTGGACAGATCGCCAAAAAAAAAACCTCGCCAAAAAAGTATATAAGATAGTGAATTATATCCATTTAATAAGATAATGTAAACTTTATTAGGTTAAAATATAAGACGGTTATTTTGCATAAATATTGATTCCTTAAACCTTAACAATTTGTATTAATTTCTTTTAATCTATAATATTACGTAGACCGTAAGGTTTTTCTTAAATTGTTAAATTAAAACAAACATTTCTCAAATTCTTCAGCTATGATTCTCCGTAAACTATTAATTTAAAATTTCTTAAGCAGATGTAAGCTGAGAGCAATTAATCTGTACTAGTGTCAAGAATTTAATTCTGACAACTAATTAATTATTGAATTAAAGATGGTTTGTATGGGACGGAACTATTAATAAGACAATGTATGAATATATTGGTATGCGGTAAACCTTTGACTCTTAGTTTCGGTTGTAATTAATCATAAAAGGAGTATTCATTTTAATTTAATTTAAAATGAAATAAGAATTAATTTTATATGAACTGTAACTTAAAAATACTTTTCTTTGGTATACGAATCTTAAATTTGCTAACTACTAAGTAGATAGTCAATTTTTCATTTCTTAGGCTTGTAGGAACTCACTTATAGTCTTATATACATTTGTACAATATATTGACAAGTACATACAAAGTATACGTCACATTAAGATCTACATATAGATTGTTCTTCACTTGTAGTAACATGTGCTGCTTCTCACGGGTGGGGCGTTAACTGGTTCATGAGTCATCACATCATCGAAAGTTTGATTGGCCTTTTCGTTATTATACACATAAATCATATATTTTTTTATGTCTATTAAGTTTCAGCCCACGTCACTCCTTGTAATAGATATTGATGCTACAGAAGTAGGCTTACGACGAAGCTCTGAGAATGTATCGATGTATTTAAACAATGTCCAACCGTGACTCTCAATATTGTTACGGGCTATATCTTTGAATATAAAAAAATAATGATATAACAAAAAAAGGTTATTCTATTATTAAGTGAATTTATAAACGATTGTTTTTAAATCATGAGAAGATTCAAATAGATTTATATGAATACAGTTCTTCATTGATATTTTGTGGCGACTTAGTGAATTGTTAATTTTTTATGACAGAAATACCACAAACCACAAGTACCTACATAGTTTTTTAAATATTTTTATAAAGAATTATATCTCAATTTTCTAACACTACCTCTGGTGTTTCATCTGTAAAATATTCTGTACGTTAATTTGAACGGAAAGGTGAAAGTGTTTGTTTTTTTAATAGAAACGATATCGTGAATTCCTGAATGGCACAAATTGACAATTCGTCATGTGACACTATTCATTGCACATAATACTTTCGTTTCTTAATGCATTTGAATGGTGTTTTCAATTTATATCAGAATTGAATCCCATTGACACATATCAAAGGAATTTTTTATATAAAATCTCCGTTGTTGATAAATAACACTTCATTGCTGGTCATTATGAACTTCCAAAAGCAATATTTATACCGGCTTATGTTAAGACGCGATTTGATAAATACAAAATATTAATATCGCATGTAAACTTTAACCTGGATATTGAAGAATGTGAGAACGATCGTATTCTCAGATATATTCTGTTTCGTTAGTGGTATATAGAGAAGAAAGTTTTAGAAGAAAATATTTGGTACTTTTATGACTTCTTATTAACGTCGTATTATTTGAATTTAATTTTTGGATATAAAGTAACAATTATCGCAAGTAATCTATGCAATAACTGTATTCCTATATATTTGTAGAATTTTTCTTTTATGATGGGTGAAATCTATATAAACCATAATAAAGTATCTTTCAGAGCGAAGTCGGGTAATAACCGCTTATAATGGAAACTCAGTTGCGAAGATTACTGTATATTTTCTATACGAGTGCGTCATTATTTTAATGGCGTGCACGCGTTGGAAATGATTTGTTGGTACTGATATAAATGATTTGATTATCACCATACAGTTTTTTTTGTATCTGACCTATATTAAATTGTTTAAATTATATTCATTAAAAAAAACTTTACGGAATTGAACAGCTTTTTTTGAATTTCATATATAAGTATGTGAGACGTAAGTAAATTGTCGTTAGTATTATATACCAATATCTTTCTCAACACACTGTATTTCTAAGTTATATGTGCATTCATAGTTTACTCATAAGCCATCTCTGTCGGCATCTCGTTGAACATAAATATACTTATTTAGAACGATCAAACAGCACTATGTTTAGAAATTTACCTCATACTATATTATTACTGTAATAATACCAATAAAATGATGTTTATTTATTTATTTCATTATTGTTTTATGGATGTATTAATTAATATATGTATATATAAATTATGATCGACGATTGCTAGTCATTAAAGGAATTATTAAATTGGTTTACAATTGAAGGAAGTAGATTCGTATAGAGAATATACATTGAAACAATGTTGAATAAATGTTCGAATATTTCGCATAGAAAATATAATTTAAAAAAATCATCGAAACTAGCAAATAATTGAATCCTTTTAAAGTATTTTTATTTAAAAATTATTACTAAGAGTTTTTATATATATTTCTTAATTATATATTACTATTGTCAACAGTTTCGTATGAATCGTTGCGTGTTAGCTCTAGTCATACCGATTTCTATCTAGACTTTCATACCAATTTACTCTTCTATAATATAAGATCGATACATTGTTTTCTAAAAGAACTCAAACTTTTTCTATTAATTGTTTGATTTGTTATATTAAGTGATATTCATCTTGGCGTTCCGTTATTCATTTATTCGTTTATAGAAAAACCTTTTTTGTGAACGAAATAAACTTAGCTGAAAATTATGTAAAGAATTCAGTATGGAAGAATAAATCTTTTATAGCGTGATGTATAATATGTATCTAGTTTTATTCATATTTGAAGTATTCATAGGTACTAAAGATTAAGTAGCTTTTTCATTATCTAATTAGGCTTAAAAAACTTAATAAAAGTATATAATCAGTGGTGGCCTAGTGGTTAAAAGGCCCGCCTCTCATGCATGAGAGCTTGGGTTCGATCCTGACAAGTACCAATGTGATTTTTCCGAGTCATACATATGTACTTTCTAAGAGTATTTAGACATCACTGATTAATGCATTCCCAAAGAGGGTTGATGTCAGGCAGGCGGCCGGTTGTAAAAACAAATAGCCAAAACTATTTAATCATGTAAGGCAAACCCTGGCTAAAGCTGGGAAATTACCGGGTAGAAGAAGAAACTTAATAAACACTTATTTTGCAATAATTTAAAACAGACACAGAACATGGATTTATACATACATATGTCCCTCAGTAGAGTTTATATTTTTATTAGAATTATTTTAATTAGAATTCACAGAAAAAACATATATTTAAAAGAATAATTTCACAATAGAAATGGATTTTATGTTACGCAAATACACAAATTATTTATATAAAGAATTTTAAGGCAACTTGAAGGTCAAAACCCGATATTTATTTAAAAATTATATAAATTAATTGTTTAATGTTTTATACAATTACTACACAAACTGCTACAGATATAAAAGGGTTATGATTTTTTACAATCACAACAAAGTCAAAGGTTTATCGTAGAAACTAGAAAGATATATATTGATAACTTAAATAAATTAATTCATGTATTTAATTAATTATTTGTGTAACAATATTATATATTTTTAATATAAATATGTATATTACAAATATCGTAATAGAAATCCAATAATGGTAAGTCCATTAAGATAGCGATGTTCGTTTTGTACCCGACCGTTTTCCTACATGCAGCTACTTGGCTCAGTAATTATAACACTATGAAATCCTTATCTGAATATACAATATATCTTGGTAATTCATCTTCCGTCTTGGTGCTTTCATAATAAATTGAAGTGAGAAACAATTAGTGCTTCGTTAGTTCAAGTAATATTTCGTTGGAATTCAGAGATAAAAATGTATGAAGTGAGAAAAGACTTTTCTTTATTACGTATTAATATTCAACAAGGATTTTTTCCTATTAAAATTCAAAAGATAATCACCGGTTAAGAAACAAAACTGTTTCATTTTTCTGTTAGTTCGAACATAAGTTTTGTTAAATTGTGCATAGTGTTTTGTTAAATAAATAAGCAGTCTTTAAAAAGTTACAAAATTCTCATAACAAAATTTTAGGAAAGTCTAAATTAAAAATATGTAGAATTCATTAAAATGTTATATTTTCCGCAGCTTTTGCTTTATAACCTTTAAAACATATTTGCTATTCTATCAATATTTTCTCCATTTTGACATAAAATTCTTGATTATGCGTTCTTACATTATGCGTTATTTCGTTGTTTATATAATAAAATATGTTTCGAGGTTGGCTGATACAAAATTATAGATGCTTATGATTTCATGTCTCTCTGTAATATTACCTCAACTCTCGTTGCCACCGGCCCGTCGTATATCGTGCAACTTACACAATAATTCCATACTTAAGGTAGCAGTTACACTATTTATAGCAGTTTCTGATGATTTCACTTCAAACATTACATTGATAGTAAATTTACTTTCAGTATTCTATAAAGAAATTGTAAGAAAATAATCTTTTTTATGTAAAACAATCATAAGTTATTCAATTTTCAAAATGGATCAGTCTCACGAGTCTTTCCAAATTTGTAAGAAAAATGTAAATTACAGTTGTCCCTAATCAGCTGTCTCTTTCGTTTATATTATGTTGTATATATCTATCCTGCTCTTAAATTCCGCGTGGGAACGCAATGCAGCATCCTTCCTGGAACGTGCTCATGCGATTTATCAAAACGCTTTCGTTCGAAGATGAAAGATAGGAGATCGGTTCATTTAAACTAATCGACGGTTTGATTTTAACGTCGTTTTAATTACATTTAATTATTGCATTCAAAAACCTATTTCATGACCAGTTTTCTTTGTTTAATTGTAGATTAGTTTTATTATTATATTATTTTATTACAGACAAGAGCAAAAGCCGGTGAGCTATGGCCTATGGAGCGACCGGAAGGTATGCCGGTCATACAATCTCTTGAAGTGATGTGCGGCAAAGACCATATGGATGTTCACCTCACATTCTCACACCCCTTCGAAGGAATCGTCTCCTCAAAAGGTATTTCAATAAAACCTTCATTTCTTAACATCATTACCAATAAGTCGTTTAATTAAGCATCATTCCGATTACCATATTGAAGTATTGGACCGCTAGGAATAGTTTCTGAATAGTACTTACTTTGAAGTCATGTTTTAGATCGTCATGTAAACGATAATTGCCATAAACCCGTATAGTTCAAGCAAAACTTAATAAAATGTTCCCGTAATAACAAGTTAGTTTTCCTTAAAATATGTGTATATTCTCTACAAAGTCATCAAATAGCTGCTTTCGCTGCGTTATTATAGTGTATGTGTGATTTTTAGGCCTACTTTCTATTTTTTTTTTAAATGGCCTTTGTAAAGAAAATATCTAATAAAGAGATAACAAGTAGCACATTTATGGCACATTCATTAAAAACAAAAATGAATTATCGTTCACATGGACTGGGAAATAAGAAATAAAAAAGATTAGACATAGTTAACGAATAAGTTGACGAGCGAGTCGTAACGTTTGAGAGTTGTTGGGCTATATATTATATAGTTTTACGACTGTTCTATACAAAACCAAAATACGGCCTATTTGTAACATGTGGGGCACATTAATAATTCAGTTTTTCCATCATAATTGTGAGTGAAACCCGGGCAATTAGTAGCAACAATTATAACCGCTCTGATTACGGGTGACAGGAAATTACCACGTATTGGATATCTACCTTCTTTTTAGTTTGTCAGTGTAAGATACCCCAAGAGATAAATAAAATTTCTATATGAATATTTAGAATACAATAACTTCTATAGTATATATGTATATTACATATCTACAGTCATTTCTATAGTTGTTCTATTCTGCATCTAACCAGTACACTGTTGCCACCCTGAGTCGCTATTCTTCAACAATGCACTTAGCTAATGTAGGATGTAATGCATCATTACCCACATGTAAGAACATGCAAATAAATGCAAACCCATACAATGCTGAACTAAAATCTCATCTTTAGTTTTACACAGCAAAATTTTGGTTAAGATTTATATATAATTCTCAAATATACCTTTAATTAAACGCCGTGGAGTTTAATTTGTGATATTGTTATAATTAATGTAACTGAGAGCACAGCATTACTACGCAATTAATACTCATGAAGGACCGTTAAAAACGTATGCACTTTCTAATTGGCGGAGTGAATTCGTTAACATTTTATTTATGTAAATCATATATTAGTTAAAACAATGTTTGTAACGGTGAAATTCTAATATGAATTATCATGATGACATTAAAAGAGTTGGTATAATTTTTTGTACATATAAACATGTATACTATTATTAATTTATTCGAAATATTTTTTTAATATATTGTATAGTTTTTCAAATATTTCTTTATATAACCTATAAGTAGAAAGAAAAGAATAGCGATTGTTATTTTAAATTAAGCTTGTTATTAGTTGGTCACAGCGTACGTAAAAATATAAATTATTCAATAATTAAGACCTATTATACTTATATACCTATAATGAATAATATAATATAACTATATTCCTTTAGGTCAACACGGCGATCCTCGTTGTGTGTATGTCCCGCCATCAACCGGACAGACGTATTTCTCGTTTCGAATCGCATACGCCAAGTGTGGTACAAAACCAGGTGAGTCTGATTTAAATAAGTATATATATTTTCTTTTTTTTTTTAAATTCCTACTCATTCTAAACGGCCAGTAATAATTTGAGATAAGATCTAGTACTAAAAAGTTTTCATGTCAAATGATGTACAGACGAAACCGTTAGATAATTAAGGTGATAAGTAAATCCAATTAACTGAAATACAGCTAGATTTATTTAATTTATTTCTACTTTTCTACAGAAAACAATATTTACTTGTATATTATGTATCATTTATATATATTTATAATGAATATTACTTACTATGTTTAAATAAAAGGGTTAGGTGTGAAAATTTTAGCATTACTTAATAGCTTCTCTCGGTAATTTAATCTTTAATAGCTACCGAATGGGCTCTTTAATGTCGTTACAATGTGGTCTAACACTCATGTCCAATCCTTTGCTTATCATGTTGGACATAGATGCCAAAATTATATTCCCATTATAGTTACAAAGAAAAAGGATCTAAAATAATTAGTGATACTCGTATTATCAAATGATGATATTTACATTAAGACTTTTTATATGGTTTAAAACGATTAAAGAAGACGTTGTCAGATAGAAATTATTTTTTGTCTGTCCCCGTATAAATTATTTGTTAATGGAAGGGGATTTTTAATTTTGGATTTGCAAGATTTTGTTACTAAAACTTCAGAAAGTAGGTATAAGACACTGAAACATTTTAATTTCTTTTATTTACTTATGATATTTAAGATAAGATAATCTCAATTCATAGCCCTTTCTAAACTATATATTAGATTGTTTTGATACAATGTATTTTTCTCAAAATTTTATAGAAAGCTTTTACTTTAAGAAACGATTCAAGAAAAGGTTTACTTTCGGAAGAAATTAGAAATTATACATATAATGTATATTTATTACCATTCGTTAAAAGAAAACGTTAATAATTTATATGATTCTTTACGAATCGGAATCTGTTTTCTAATATATGCATGAATGCTTAATGAATTTGACGAAATGTCTTCATCATCTTAAAGAAAGCCGTGTGACTATAACTAGTCGAAAAATATATTAGCATGGGATATATAATATAGGACAATATAAAGTTTAGTCAAACTTGCTTTAAACTTGTTGAATGCGCCTTATAATTCTGATAACATAGAAAAGTAAAACTAGGGGAAGCCTTAAACCTACACCTAGTCACAAGTCCCAGGCTCTGTTGAAGCTCCTCTCCCTGTAATGCGATGGACCCGACACCCGCAGGGTGAATCCATTGAATGCTGAGAGGTTTCGTCTCATACATAGTTGCTATTAACTTGACTCCTAATACCCAAATATGATTATTTTTTATGTCAAATGAACATATTTTTCATAATTGATAACAACCTTTTACACAGTCGAGATTTCACAAAATGTTCTTAGTTATGTTTTAGTATCAATTGAATATTTTTCATTTATATAAACTTTAAAACCATGGGATTGGTTAAAACCGTATTACTTTCTTCCATATGCCATATGGTTGTCATTTTTTTTTATGACGTCATTAAAACGCATTCATCTTCCGAAAGCCTGCTTCAAAAACCAGTACATCCCGTTGGTTTTTTTGACCTGATTTATGATATTTTTGTTTGCCTCAATTGAAATGTTTTTATAAAGTTTCCATGTCAGCAGACATTTTATGTCGCGTATTAAATAATATATTTTTTATCACTTTTATTATATGTATTGGAACGTATTTATTTTTTGTTGGACTGAGTCAATAATAGGTAACTTTATTTATTATAATTATTATATATTTTATATGAGTTCTTTAATTAACAATCAATGTATTTTGTAAAAGTGTATTTAAAAAATGAATTTAAAAACAATGAAAAAATTTTACATGTATCAAAATTGAATCAGCAAGTTTACTTCTCAAAACAACAGTACCTTATTCTTCACAGACAGTATAGATTTCAAAAATACGTTATAATTAATGTTCTCACAAACATTAGTATTATGTATCCTTTAAAAGTTCCTGTTGCATAATAATTCCAACTGAACATAAATACGACATATACTTAAAAAATAATTACAAGAGTAGGACTTAGTAGATGTTCCGTCCAGGGTCTATAAATTATGTTTCCTCAACAATCTGTCAATGCTTCCTCAGTAACTCCTACTTGTTCCATTCTGTACAATAACTTCAAACATTTACAACTATGATATTACATTGGTATTTCTAGCTTTTATTTCTGACGTTTGCATGTAATATACATATATAGTCCGGATTTAATGTCCCAGCGTTCACTAGGATATGTCATAAGCGGTATAAGCATTCATTCTAATTTAGAACCGGTAATTATCGTCGACAAGCATTTCGCAATAAATCAACTACAAACATCATTCTCATTTACTAGAGTTTTTCTCATTCGATTCTTAGTTATGTCCTCTATGGCTAGTGTGTAGTAACGGACGCGGCCCGTTCCTTCTTCGAATGTTGAGCGCTCATTGTTTCTAAGAAACGCCACTCGCCATACCACATAACACAGCATGGCACGCCAAGGCCCATTTTCCCCCGTCATGGAGACGCCGATCCTGAATCCACTAACTTCAAATGCATTTCCTTCCCCATAAAACTATTTACGACTTTAAGTGCAGGCGGACTGATGACAAGTGATGCCAATGTAAATTCAATTTTATGGCTTCGTGATAGGGTTTAGTTGTGGACTGGGAGGCTTAACAGCGAGATTGATGTTCTAATGAATCGCAGTGCTCAAAGAAAGGTGGCTAAGTAAAGCTTAAAGGTTAGAATCGCTTGAGCGACGTCTTCTGCTCCGATCCGCGTTCTTTGGACGACTTCCAGTTTTTGCGCGAGTTCATCCGCGTATAGCTCTAGTAATAATAAGGATTTGAAAATTAAACTTTTTAACTTGCAATTTTATTTACACAAATTCATATCACAAACATTACGTATATTTAATTACAAAAATTCAAACTTATGTTCTCATAAATCAGCCTAATTATGCTGAAAGTGATTAAGAGCATTGCGTTTTGTTTGCAGATCTCCACGGGCAGTTCTATGAGAACACGGTGGTAGTTCAGTACGACAAGGACTTGCTAGAAGTTTGGGATGAAGCGAAGCGTCTCCGGTGTGAGTGGTTCAACGATTACGAGAAAACGGCATCAAAACCACCTATGGTTATCGCAGACTTGGACGTAGTTCAGTTAGATTTTAGAGGTAGATATGAATATTGTCAATTATCGTTCTGTCCATTGTTGAAAGGGGAAAGAAATAGACTATATCAATTATTTTCTTAACGTAGGTGACAACGTTGACTGCTGGATGGAAATCCAGGCTGGTAAAGGACCATGGGCTGCCCCTGTCTCCGGGATTGTACCTCTCGGATCAACTCTAACGTTGGTTGTAGCCATTAATGATTATCGAGGTTTGTAACAATTACAATTATAATATTTTCTAAACATTTTATTAACAAAAAACCTAACTTTTTAGCATTTAATTCACGTAAAATTTTAATAGTTTGTATTATATATAAATAATGATATTAATTAGCAACAGACCATATCTTATAAATGCTTATGATGGAAAGATATTGTTTTAACGAACTGCCCTTTTTTGATGTATGTATTGAGTTTTGCGTTATTAATGAATTTTAAAGCGGCCTTTCTCATGTTAGGTTTTTTACTAACAGTTTAATCTCTTTATATATTGATAGCATCGATTCTCATTCCATCAAATGACCCGACTTTAGAAATCGGTTCTTAATAACTTACTTTCTGCTCTGTTAGCTTTATACCTATTTAAATTATTAGTTTACTATAAACTTTTGTAATGTATTTTTTACATATGTATATGATAACCAAAATTGGTACCATATTTTGTTTGAAGTAATTAATTATAAGTTCTTAAATGTTACTTTTTGTAAGTTCTTATTGATCTCAAACGAAACGAAAATAACCTTCCAATCAATTCTGACACAACTAGATACAACCAATTAAATACCCGTTTTATATAGCGTATATTAAATTAATACCGAATTTCCATCAATACTTAAATGAGGAGATGTTTAAACATTGGAAAACAAGTAAAATTAAAATTTACAAATCTGTTTATCGTACTTTAAAAATAGTTCTTTTGATGATTGCGAAATAAATATCGAACCTATTATTAAATAAATAAATATTTACTAAAGAAAGATATATATTAAAAGATGGTTTAGAAAAGGTAAGTAAATTTAGTTATGTTCTACCACGAACCATCTGAATTATTATGACTATATAATAAAGTCATATTATTTAAATATAATATGTTCTTTATTTAGAAGATAAAATATTCAAAAAGTATTTTATTTCTTATTTTATCATTTAATATGGCAGCAAATATTTACGTAATTCGTTAGAAAATACGTATAGATTAACCTTAAACTTACATTTTGTGAATTAAAATGTTTTCTTAAAAAATAATTTCACTTACAGTTTGTACTCTTTGTTTTTTTGCACTCTAGAGTTAGTCATTTTTATTTCGACTTTACTATATAAGTAAATCTATCAACCATTTGATGTAGAGAATAGAAAATAAAATTATACACTTCAACTTCATAACTAGTAATTTTAGTTGAAGCGGTTAGAATTAATTAACAGAATCCTTGCTGGTAATTACCATCGACTCGGTATTTACAATTAACGATTTGTTTATAGTTTAAAGTTATTTAGAAGCAATTTAATTATTCCGACCGTAAAAATAAAATAACAATTACAAGCAAAACCATTAAAATGATCAAATATCGTGAAATATAATAATACGGTTTTTAATAAATTCACTTATATGTATGTGCCTTTTTCTTTTGAATGATAAGATATTTTAATTATAATTATGATGTTTTTAGTTTATTTTTTGGCATAAGTAATTTTAGTGATACATATATTAAAATAAATTAACCACATACTGTAATATGATACATTAAAGAGAATTATGCTAGCATTTTATTTATATTAATTAGTTTATAACTGTGTTACTCCTCAAAAGAATATAGTACATTTTAAATCTATAGTAATAAACAAAGTATCACTGATTGGGATGTAACAAGTCAAACAATATCCACCAAATATAATGCTTTTGTGAATGAAACAGAATTCACCGTTAATTCTTATCACCTATTCATATATCTCATAAGAATTTATTCCTAGTTATTTACAGTATTATTGTGTTTTGATAGAAAGCTGTGGGTGTTGCCGTTATACGATTGACGTTTTAAAAAGATAACTGTCGTGTGTTAAAAGTAAAATTAAAGATAAAAAAAACTATAGCTTATAAATTGAGCTGTTAAAGATTAGAGCAAAATCATTTTATATATTATTACAAACGATGTTAATGTATGGAAGATACAATTTACTTCAAGATATTATCTCATGTAAAAAGTTGTATATAAGCAAGCACGATTGTAATTTTGATTGGTCGTACTTTTTATTCTAACTATCAATCTAAGCAAGGTACATATTTTTGTGACAAAACGATTACGCGATTATGATTCTTGTTTACTTTGAATAGAATTTATTATAGCTTAATATATATTTGTTGTTGATTTATCGTGTGGGCGGAGGAATCCTCCATCCTGAATTGTTGTTCGAAGACAAATGAAGTCGTATTAAAATTTATAGAGACAAAAAAAAAAACACTTATATACACTTTACCAATACACATACATATACTAGTTACCTAAAGCTAGCTCATGTTTGTTAGTAACTTTTATCGCTTTATGTTTCTGATACCACATCATTTAATAAAGAATTCAGGGAAATTTAATTAGCTAAATGATAATTTTTGATAGTATTATGATAAAAAATGCTTTATTTTATTGAATGCGTATTAAAATACGTTTAGGAGTTATAAGCGACACTTGGTAATACTATCTCTAACAGGGTAATAATAGTGTGCAAACACTAACGGTACAAAGAATAGTAAAAAGTGAACTGGACAAATACGAACGAATGAGTTTGCTTAACGGGTCGCGACTGGTTAGGGCTGTGGGTTAACTTTGAATAATATCTCAACCTGATAAGTGATATGTTTCTACAAAGAAAAGACAAATAAAAAACAAATATTTGTACAAAAAAATTACTTCCTTTAAACAGATTTCTATATGTAAGTATTTTATTTAATATCTTTATGAATAAAATACGAGAATTTGTAAGTAAAAGCTAAGAAGCTATTTGTATTCTATATATTTTCTGCCTTATTAAAATCAGACATTGTGGTGTGTATTACAATAGGCGGTATACTTTAGTAGGCTTCTTTTGATATTTATAGGCACATTTACATGCAATAGTTCTTTGTTTAGTCGACAATTGTTAACCGCATTTACTGGTAATATATATTCATGTTGTGACAACCCTATTCAGGGATGTGGAAGGACTGGAAAAGATCGCAGCTAGTTCATATGAAGTCAATACACATTATTTACAAGAACAAAGTTTTATGACGACTGACACAATTAGTCTTTTAACAGTGTTTAAATTCATTGTAAAGTAAGTCGTTAAGTTATATTAAGGGTAATCATGTAGTAACAAAACAGGCGTGGCTTCAAGAATTCCACGTTATTTGTAAGGTGTAATTTCAGATACAGGAATGTTATCGGTAACTGTGTTAAGACTAAAGCAATTTATGTCGCTGGTAACGTATAAGATAATGTGTCCATTGGCGTCGCGTTAGGAATTTAAAGAAAGATATCGTAAAGGTCCGTCCGGTCGTAATAAATCTTGGATCTCTTAAAATTAAGAGAGCTCAAAGGTTTGATATATTATTACAAAGAAACATCATCTGTCATAGTAATAAAAGCACAAGCATAGTTTTGTTCGTTAGATTGACACCATTATAATAACAAATTGTACATTACCATCGGCACAACCGAAAACAATGATGAAGTTGTTTCCCACAGAACGATTAATTGATCAATTTGATTGATCGTAAGCATACTGTTCTCAAAAAAAGATGAAGGCAAATTAAGATTTATTACATTTTATTGACTTAACATCATATATAGAACCTATTACAAAATTACCTCAATAAATGATAATCTATAATTAAAATGCTTTCTTATATACTATTTTACCACATACATAGTCTATACATAATCGTAAGCACTAGTATCGATTTTTAGATAAGTCTTTTCTATTTAGATCCTTTGAACCCGTAGGGTCCAACGCATTACATCTGAAGTGCCCTTAAACGTAGTGTTTTCTTTAACAGATATATTTGTTATCCATTTCCGTCGGGGCTGCGGTTTGCGTGTTTCTCTTATAATTACATTTCACTTAGCGTTAACTGGATAGGTGCTATTTATTGTTTAGCGTTTACTCATTTGAAGCCGTGTTGCGGTAACACGAACGTGATGGGACTTTGAAACATTTTTACCGCAAGTCACTAAATTTACGTGACATGTTGAATGAAATTAACATATTTTTATACATTTTTTTGTTATTTTTTCCTTGTCTAACAATCTTTATGTTTTATTGTCATTTGCCTCTAATGAGTGGAATAATAAATTGAATATATTATTTTTTTATTTCAGGTGAATTCGATATGCGTGTTAAGTCTTGTGCAGCATCTGATGGTTCCGGCCACGTTATACAGCTGTCTGATGAGTACGGTTGTGTTCTGCGACCTAAAATGATTTCCAGGTTAGTTTTAACTACATTTGTATCTTAATAATGTAAAACTTCCATATGAAAACGGAAGAAAAGAATAACAAGACTGGCTTTATTTTCTCTCTGTTTTGGCTTGTTTCTGACCGGATTATTTAGAAATATTCATCTTCATTCAAATCAATAACTTAGTTTCCATTTCTAAATCCAATATTTCCACTTATCCAATTCAAATGTTACAGATCATCCTATCATAATATACTCTTACATTCGTTCAAATCATATATAAAGTTCATTTAAATTACTTCCAAGTCTTAACAAAACATCGAAATAATCTAAGAAATTTCCATTTTAGATTTCTCAAAGCGAAAGCCGTGGATGAGCGAGCAACAGTGATCACGTACGCATTCTTTCACGCGTTCAAATTCCCCGATGCGCTGAGTGTTCACATACGATGCAAGGTGGAAATATGCAGGCATGGCTGTCTAGATCACTGTCAGCTAGCTGGCATAGCGCCTCAGAGACATGGAGCGTTAGATAGAAAGGATGATAGAACTCAACAAGGCCATAATGATATCGGGTAATAATGATTTCCCATATATAATATGATTGTGGTATAATATACTCTTATATCTTACAAATGCTGAGAATTAAACCAAGTACCTGTTATAATAAGTATGTTGTGAGATATAGTAAATTATTGATCCTTATAAAACGTATTGAGGGATATTTTTTGTGTTAATTTCAAAGTTGATATTAAAATTATGTACAAGTGCATATTTTGTTACATACATACAATGTTGCCTTCAGATATTTGTGGCTTGATTTTAAAAATAAGACTAAATATTTTTCGGACCAAATAATGTTTTCTCTCATACATTTTTTAAATTATCCACAATAAAATTACTAAAAACTTATTAATTATTGTATTTAGTAAAGTCATAAGTATTAAAAAAGAAAGTAAAATGTTCTTAAAAAATTATTTGCAATGATTCATTTCTAAGCAGACCATTAAATAGTGTAATTTATTATAAATAATTCCATCACATGCAAAACATTTAATGCATTCTAGGGACTCCTTAGAAGAATCAGACCTTAGTCTAGCTGAGGATCACCAACGACTGCCGCTTGAAGAAGCATTCGGTGATGAAGTCTCTGGTGACGCGGTCCCAGCCCCAGCACCACAACGAGCACCCGCACCTGTCGTTGAAGCAGACTCCGATCATATGTCCGCTGTCGAAGAACTTGTTGAAGCACTCGCAAGACCCTTCACTGTAAGTAACATGACGAATATTGATATTTAATGATAGATGTATTTATGATTTAAAACTTTTAACTGTCAATTATTTCTTGAATCAAAAGAGAATTCAAAGTTTTGAATATAATTCGCATTTAAAATATCGATGACCAAAAAATTTTGTCCCAAAATCTAAAGACATATGTTTTTGATACGATATATGTAGCTTGTACGTTAATCAGCAGTATAAAACTAATTCTGCAAAATAATTTCCAGGATCGCCCATCGGATCTCGGTGAACGAGAGCGTTTCCCTCACGGACCAAGAAATCTTGGTTCCAACGTCAAACTAGAGCCGGGAGATGGCGTTGTTTCCACGAAGCATCCCGGACCAGCCGTAGCTGGTCCTAGATCCCTCCGTAAAAGAAGAACAGTAAGGGACGCCAGGTCAGCGGATGTTGGTGTATCAGGAATATACGATGTTGTATCAGAGGCAGACCTCGCGTTTGGACCAACCAGGGAACCAGTCACTGTGTTCAGTGGAAGAATACGCGAAGAGGTGATTATGAATATGTTTAACTAGTTTTGGCCCGCGACTTTGTTGGCGTTAATTTCGAAATTAGTAATATACGTACCAAGCAAACTCTATTTCGCCTTAGAGGTCGTAAATAACCAGATATTTTTTGAGATTATTTTTTTTCGATAGAACAGAATTAAATATCCTATGTCCGTCTTCAAGTTCTAACCTATCCCTCATCAATTTTCAATCAAATCCTTACAGCCGTTCTTGAGTTTGTAATATTATATATATTAGATTGTAATAAAGAAATAATTTTTAAAACTAACTTTTAAATCTTAAACAATTTTTTTGAAACGGTTATCGTACATTAATAAAGCCACCGGCTGGTATGTTATTCTATTGCAATGCTTTTCTATTAAGAACCTATACAGTCGTTATTTCAAACAATAAAAAAGACATAAAATCTTACCGCATAGACTTTCAGTGAATAAAATGAATACTCCTCATTTTTATCTGGCAGGAAAACCTAACATTTGTATTTTATTTAATAACTAATGTTCATACAAAACTTTATATGATTGTATGAGATAATAACAAATGTATATTATTCCGAAACAGGTGGTATATGGAATTTGTATGGGCGCTGTCAGCTTTGGCGCTTTATTCGCTTCAGCGGCTGGAGCGGCTGCAGGCGCAGCGCTTGCAGCGGCTATATTGTTACATAAACTACGATCTAGGACTCAACCTCAAGTAACTCCCGCGGTCGCGTCTCACTCACTCGCCGCCTGGATGGCATTAAGACTCCTTGGATCACCACATTCACGTGAAGGGTGATGATTATTTCTTATTATCTGTGCCCACACCAAAAAGTTTTAAATACTTTCACAGTTTTGACATAAAAAGCACAGATTATGTGACGTCTGGTATGTTTTGTTATCTGTTGACACCAAAAAGAATTGTTATTTTATTGACAGTGAAACTTTGATATAAAGCACAGATTTTAAATATACTCGTATACTTTTCGTTAATCAGTTTGAGACCAAAAAGTGTAAATTTGGAGACAAATACAGACTAAACAATTAAAATAATTTTCGTCTTCTACACAGTTTATAATAAATTGTGTCCAGCACAAAAAAGTCGTAAAAATATTAATTACTGTCAATTTCTTGAATGACTTTCATTATCTGGATACTCTATTAACGCAATAACTTTGAACCCAAATACATAGTTATAGTAAAAAAATCAATGGTACTAATGAAACGATGGTGCTAAGTCAGGTTGTCTTGATTTGATTTCAATCGCTGTTGTGAACTTACACTTAGAATAAGTTTGTACAGAATTTAATAATTTATAATCATTTTAATTATAAATAATATTTCTTTGTTTAGATGTTAAGTGTAAACGTCGAGTCATGCCATTAGAATAAGTTTAGATAAATTACGCTCTTGTATGAGGCAAGTTAAACTTTTACGACTAACATTTCTTGTTAAATTTTGTAACATTTAACAAAAATTATTGCCAAATTATATTAAAAAATTCATTATAAGTGTATCCGTTTATTTATAAGTAGTTATAAAAAGTTTAATAGCAATATATCGTAGTGCTTTTTTGATGAAATTAGAACAAAAGGAAAATGACATTTTTTAAATCGCTTTTAGTAAGTGTGGTGCTTCAACAAAATATGGATTGTACTTCTTAAAGGAATCCTTGAATTGTCAAAATTTAAAGGTAAAATTTTTGATTTTTAACTATGTATAATGTAGTGTTTCTTTATTTATATCTTTGTATATTTATACATAGAAATAGTTAAGTTATTTTTAGTTATTTTTACTTTTGAACACGAACCATCAATAACAGTTATGACGACAATAAAAATATTCAAATATTTTACAATCGCATTTATCTGCATTTATAACTAATTTACTTATTGAATTATATTGCTCAATAATTATTTTATATATAAAATAATATTTTTTTATATTATTCTAGTTATAATTAGTATAATTTTAGTATTAAATTCTATTCTAGATTCTTGTAGGGATTGAAAGATTGCGTGTATTCTTGACCAAACTAAATCTTTATGTGGGACTATGCAGATTCGTTCAATATTTTTTTGCATAACTCATATAAGAGATTCTTGGATAATGTTACAAAAATACATTGGGATCTTTCAATCTATGTTATAAATAGTATAATATTTACATTGCCACCCAAAAATCTTGCATTTATTTTTACTATTATATAATAAGGTAACACAATATTCCTGTGAATATTTTTGTTCTAAGTGCAATTTTTTAAGTACATATTCGTTAGTATATCAAGATTTAAGTCCGTTTTATTCGATATGGTTATGGTTTCACGTTTTATATATTACATATGAAGAGTATTTATTGTAAACTCGATATATTTAAACTGTATGAATGTGTATGTATGTTTTATCGACGCATTTGTTTATTTTTAACCGAATAAAAGTTACGTTGATAAAGTCTCGTGTATTTTATTCATCATTAGAATATAAATGATATATTATTAAATTGTGAGTTTGAGGGAATTCGTTCTAAAATAGGGAACTCCCTTATAACTATAAGCGTCGCTACTGCAAAGAAAGGTCGGAAAGGCCAAGGTTAGTTTGTTGCATGAGATCATAAAAGCATTATGCAATAATAAACAATTTTACCTAATCTTCGTGAAAAACAAATGTACATACATTTAAATGTGATTTACCAGAAAAAATAGCTAACACTCCTAATGTAAAAGCTTGCTTTAATATTGTGTTGTACTAGACGTATGACTAGATAAGACGTTTGTTTATTTACTTAAATATAAATTGCTCGGGGACGAAAAAACATGACATGCTTTGAAAAATGAGGTAGCAGTAATCTGGATCCAGGTTTGAGAATCTCTTTATTCCCGAGTTGCAAGTCTAAAGATTTTTCTTATTTGAGGATCAACAAACATGTCTTCGTTTTATCTGACCTTACTTACATATGGTATTTAGTTTTCAACGCTTAAATGGCTACTTAAATATTTTCTATACCTATTCATATAATGCAGTTGTAAATTTTCTGCGTTTTAAGGTTAGATAATTAAAACATTACAAAACTTATTGAAGTATTTTAACATAAATGTGATATATTCTTCTGACTAAAACAGTTCTAGTTAAAAGCATCGTCATGTTTTTTATTCCAAGAATATTATAGAATTCTTATTTCAGTGAAAAAAAAAATATTTATAAAAGAAACAAGCTTAACTCATTAAAAATTAGCATATCATTATTTTTATTTTTTTAGTTCGCCCACACGCGTCGCAAAATTTATTCAAAACAATTACTGCGCTTGCACATGTTTGTTAATTATGTAGTAGTATTGTGAACTTTATATTTATTTCTTATACAGAAAACAATGAAATTTTACTCATTCACTTTATTTATATACTAACGTTCACAAAAGACAATTTGTTCAAGTTCTTTGGTTGAATATTCGTCTAATTGAATGTATTAATTAGTATTGCGTTCTCTAAGTATTTTTTTGTTCTTATTTTCTGACCTGTAATCAAGATCCATTCTAAAAAAAAACATGAAAAATCGGTACTGAGGGTAAAGAGTTTCTGCTCGTATAATTTCGATACGGAATAATGCATAGAACAGTATTCCTGACGTTTTTCATTTGGGAGGTGGAATATCTATGTTTGAAATCTCTTTTAGGAATGTTTTTGATAGTAATTATACAACGATCTTTCAATTTATTTTTTATTTAATTTCAGTTACCTGGATCTATAGGAAATATTCATACCTAAGAAACTTATTGTGTTCGAAATGTCGAATTGTAAACTAAATATAGTTATTTATTTCCAAAAGAAAACGAGGAACAAAAGATGAACGTCACACTGACAAATAAAACCGACTTTTTATTGGTTCTTTATTTATAATAGTTTAAATAGAAATAAAATCATTCTCGCTTTATTATTTTTCGATTATTTTTGTAAGGAAATAAATAAGTGACAACACATTTTTTAACTGTTTAATATATTATTATTCAATGCTATATTTGTTCATGATCTTGTACACATTCACCTACGTTAACGGAGATGTTACGGAATATAATAGCGTTCACTTCGATCAACATATCGTAAAATTAATATAAAATATAAAAAAGAAAACATAACTAGAACATTAAGAGGGTGCCTTCTATGAGGCTTACCCTTAACAGAAGGGGAGGTACTCAGGTGGTAAAAATAAATAATATAGCTAGCATGTAGGTAATGACTACACAATCTTAACTAAAATAAATAATATTAATACTAATGACAAGTTACTTTAAATTATATCTAGCGGTTTAACTATGTTGCTATACCACGTATTTATTATTATTTTATATTTTCCGTTGCCTCTTTATCGAATTATCACTCAACAAGAGGCAACAGAAGATTGTACTTATGACGTTTTAAAACTAATTTGTGTCCAACATTATTTTGTGTTCAACTCATTTTTTGTTAATATCGATTCTCAATTAATTGTTTATTGAACAACTGTTTGAAATTATTTAAATTTATGGTTTATGGCCTTAACAATCTACCCACTTACGAAGACCAAGTATTTGAGTACATTCACATTTCTGTCTCTTTACATTTTTAGAGCAGAAAATAAATTATTATACACATTTCACATATCATAAACACAGTTATTATATTGAACCCTTTTTTTAGCAGTTATACAGTTGCAAATTGTAGAATTTTGAATATTAAGGCATACCATAAAGAAAATAATTAAAACTAAAGATTTAGAATTTAAATTATTTGAGCACATAAATAAAGTATAGGCTGGGTCATACTTCAGTCTCATTACGCTAATATTTACAAATTAAATTATAAAGGCATTACATTACATGTTACGAATAAAATCGGCTTTTCGAAATGACATGCGGTCCTGTGGTTGGGTGTGGTCGTGGTATCGTACTAATAGCAGCAGTTTTCTTTTTAAGTTTTGTAATGGGACGCAATTTAAAGAATAATACTGCAGATACTGCACATGAACATATAAGAGTGGCAAGAAGGGTTCCAAGTGTGGCAGCAAATCCTGGCGTGGTCATGCAAACAAGTCCGGGTGTGGGAACGATTTTAGGAGCGGTTGATTCTTCATTGTTATCTAAATTCAGGTCTCCGGCGGACACAACTCGGATAACTCTGTTAACGCCAACTTCCTTTTCAGGTGAGGTGGCTCTACGTTGCCTCCTTACTCTTCTTTCATCCCTCCTTATTTCAACACTTACGGGATATGACTGATCAATTTGAGGTGGTCCGTATTCAGCGTGAGGGCCAATAACATTATGAGGTGCATCAGTACATTGTTCTGGGCATCTGTATCTACAAATCTGAATAGTACATTGGAAATGTACTTCCATGGAGTCTGGGAATTTGAAAGCTTGAAAATGCGCGTATGAGAGTACTGATGCGCTAGCTCCGAAGTTCTTTATCTTCGTGAACCTCGACATTAGTTTTGGTCTAGTTACACAGCCACGCCTATCGACTAATTGTATAGGGGCGCGTTGACCATCGTGAGCTACACAGTCACGGACTAACATATCGAACTTTGCATCATCATCTTTAATCGCTAATACCATAGTCATAGTCTGACCTATTTTAACTAATCCGGATACTTCAGAAGCCCAAGGACCTTTACCAACTTGTATTTGCATCCAGCATCCCACATTATCGCCAGCAAAGTCGGCACGAACCACATCTAACATATCTACGGGGAAGGGACGGAAAGTCACAGCTTTTTCATACTGGTCGTGCCACGTGCACCGCAGTTTGCGTGCCTGATCCCAAACCTCTTGGACTTGTGGGTCATATTGTATGACAATAACATTTTCAAAGTACGTGCCAGCTGCAGCAACATCGCTACGATATCTTGGATCTCCGCTTCCAGCTGTGCCACACGCGTGTGCACCAATTTCAAAAGAGGCTGAAGATCTGCCTAGATTTGGTGGAAGATGAACACATTGATGGTTAGAATAGTGTCCTTTGGAGAAAACGATACCAAAGAATGGTTTGTCAAAACTGAGAAATACTCTCATGGCATTCTTTTCACACTTGACGTCGAGGGATAAAATTTTCGGCATATCAGGAGCTGGGGCAGGCCAAACGTCACCAGTAGTACTGTAGACCTTGTCACTGGCTGAGGCTTGAGCATCACTTGGTGGAGCTTGGGGTGGGGGCGGTCCTCGGAATCCAGATCCAATGTCATTTTTATGATGATTCACAGGAGGTCCAAGGGCGAAGGGCTTTGAATGAATTTGTTGATGATTAGAAATACGAGGCATACCTGGAAATAAACACTTCTATGAAGATTGATCTTTTGCATTGCAAAGAAGTTTATTATCAATAATTTTATATCATACGTACCTATTGGGTGGTGTGACTGGTGGTGGGGTCCATTTTGTCTTCGGTTTGTGACGTGAGGAGGTGGCACGGGTGGAGGTGGACCGTTGTAAGCGTGACTTGGGGTTTCTCTTTCTGATGATTCCATCGCCAGCTGGTCGCTAGAGGGTTCAGCAACGCTGTTGGTGTCGGAATTAGGTGAACCTCCGCCGCCGCCACCCTCATTTGTAGTCTGATCACTATAAGATCCGCTCTGAAAGCAAAAGAGAATTGTTAAAAGTATATTGACTACATATTATTAAAAGTATATTGACATTTAGAATACAGTAAATAATATGCTCTCATGAACCAATGTATATAAGTAGGTATAAAGTATAGACGATTATATAGATACATATTTGTTTCTTGAAACAGATACTGTTACGACAGCCTTATTAAATTACGCAGAATTACGAAAGAATTACTTTAAACAGAATTCTTGTGAATTCTTATATATATATAAAAACTCATTAACAAGATTTCACATTAAATTGGTCTACATAAGACTATTATTAGGGACTAATTAAAATTCACGACAGAATTGTAATGAAAAGAATCAAGTTTTTTTATACAGGCATCCACTTTTTATACCGTATTTTATTCTGACACGAAAATTATATGTTTTTCGTAGCAACACCAGCTTTCACTAGCGCGCGTGGGCAATATTTTAAATATTATTTAATTTGACACACTGACCATTTTAAATTACTCTTAAAACCTGTACCCGTGTCAAGTTAAGACGGAACGAACACTCCCGATTCCAAACCTGACTAGATGAATCTTGGATTCCAATTTCCTCGTCGTGAATAGTATCATCATGTGAAAGTTGCTAAGTTCTGGTCCACATTTAATTTAAATCATTGCTTTATTGACCGCTCTGCTTTTAATCAAACTGGTTTCGGCTCACTCTAAATTAATTACTCGTTTTCCAGATGTTACTTCAGTTATAATTAACACGAACAAAAAGTGTTTTGGGTATTTTTAGAACCGGTCACAATTTATAATTTTTTATTGTTACCTATCAGTAAACCTAGAATTATCGAATCGTCAATTCTTTTATATCTCTCATTTGTTTCGCCTTGGGCTACAAAATTAGAAAGTATAGGTTCTACACGGTTCCGACATTAGCGAGATGCATAGAGGTTTTTTATTCCATCAATAAAGATTTATGAGTAAGCGTAAAACTACATCCTCTAAGTTGATTCCAGTAATTATTTAAGATTGGTATCGGGATGTACAACGTGACTCGCCTCATCCAACCTCTATTAATATTATGTAAGAGGTTCAAAAGAGAAAGTTGAAATGAAAAAGAAATTACATTATTGAACTAGACAATGCTATAATGATTAATTGTAGGTGAGGCGTCATGTTACATTGATAAGGTGTTATTCATTTATGTATTGGTTTATTTTCTTTACTATTTACTAACCAAAGAAAATATACAATGTAAACTTTATAATATTTAATACTAAATGTTAATTAAAAATTTCAGTGTCTTGTTAAGCCCCGTTCATTAAAGGGCATCGCGATATCTTTTTCATACCAGATGAGACGACAGCGAATTAACAGCGATATAGCAAGCTAAGTTTTTGGTTAATTAAATAACAATAACTAGACATAAATCGGGTTTAATATTCCTAATATTAGCTAAATAAGGAAAACATGTAATATAATAAAAAACCAAGTCTAAATATAAGGGTTGACCCAATTTAATAGGCACAGCTTCGAGCTTAAATATCTGTTTACTATAAAATTTCTAATGTTATTAAAAATATATCCGAACGCCGCAAACATTTAAGTAAAAAACTTTTTTAACTGTTATCCAAATAAAAAATGTAGGGTAAGAGCCGCAAACGTCGACCATTTAAACCTTTGCTAAACGTCTAATGTAATCGTCAAAGCAGATGCTTAACGCAAAACGAAATCCGCTTCAGGGAGCGGCCGTCAAGTGCAGTGTGTCAAGCGGTCATTGATCTTGTTCGACTAATTTTACTTTCATTAAATAGCAGAGCGGAGTATTCGTGACTGGATGTTTATTTGGTTTCGGTTTTTATACGATAAATGGTGCAGATTTATCCCATCATAACCGAAAACAAGCTTCTACTAACAATCAATTATAGGTACTAATTAACATAATATCAGCCATTATTTATCAAACATCAAATAAATTAATGTGTTACTGAACTGAACCAGCTTTTATTGAAGAATCAATTCATATAATTTTAGAAGTAACTTATTCGTAAAAGGTAACTTGGTGATTCTTTTCTCTGTAATTATGAGTTCAAAGCAATTATCCTAAATCAGGTAATGTAAAAACGTAAAAAATGTTATAGGACAATACCTAGAAAGAAGAGCAGGATTTCAAGTTCAATGTGTGCCGTGGCTGTAGGTCGCGATGTGACCGCTCGACGGGAAAGCTAGCTTTTACTCTTACACTCCATTGTAATAAATTGGTATTGGTTTAGCTTATTTCACAACAGTTTTCCGGTTTTATTTATACATACATATGAAGGTATTTGGCTAGTGTATAGAAATTATCATAAAAAATTATGTTCTTAACTCCAAAGTTTGGAGTTATTAATATCAACCAACAAGCTTTGCTTGCTTAATATCTATAAATTTTCGGCTATATTGCAAGACACGATATATATATATATATATATATATATATATTTGATTTATTTAATAAAATCAATATATATATATACTAGCTTTCCGCCCGCAGCTTCGCCCGCGTGGAGTTCGGTTATATCGCGTTTCCAAGAGAACGTTTCAAAAGTCTGGGATAAAAACTATCCTATGTTCTTTCTCAAGGTCAACTCTATCTCAGTACCAAATTTCATTAAAATCAGTTCAGTGGTTTAGGCGTGAAAGAGTAACAGACAGACAGACAGACAGACAGACAGACAGACAGACAGAGTTACTTTCGCATTTATAATATTAGTAGGGATATTGATTTTATTAAACAAATCAAAGATACTGCGACTTAAAGAAGTTTAATAAAATCTTAAATAGTAAAAATGATTTATTTTTATTTTAAAACTATTAAATATGCTTCGCTGCTTACATTCCAAATATTTATTAAACTTATTTACTATACAAGCTAACTCGGAGTTTTCTACAATAACACATGTTTTAAATGGAACCCACTTTCTGTCAACAAACGTTTTTAGAAAGCGTACTAATTGATTTATGTTTAGTTACTTTACATTTATTATTTAATAAATATTATTCTTAATACGGTTATAAAAAATTTAGATTACTGAAACCGGTGTTGCTGTTTTTTATTATCGAATTCCGTGTAACCATGAGTTGTTTACGTTTGATACAATACCATTTAAGTGACAAGTTCTTGTATTAAACGGGTGAATAGTTTACTTAGACGGAACTTGATATATCCGTCATAGCGGAGTGGGCCACTAGTTCCTTACCATATTCGGGTGTTTTACCTGATAACCGTATTATCTCGTACAAGTCCCTCATTGAAACACACCCTTAACATATATAAATGTATCTAACATTTTAAACACTATCAGTACAATTTTGTATGAAAAGAATTCGATGTACAAATTGAAGATTCAAAAATGAAATGATACAAAAAAATATTTAATGTTCATTTACATATATTTTATTTTCATGAGGGAGGCCTATGTCCAGCTGTGGACTTCACATAGCTGATGATAGATAGATATTTACAAATAGGTTAATATGTAATTCTGTAATGGCTGATTTGAACAGGCTTAAATAATTTTTTAAATATCCTTTGAAAATGTTGAAACATTTTACAAGTTAAATTTAAAATTAACAGAAAATTAGAAACACGACGTTCTTTAATTTATTTCATGTAATCAATCGGTTATTCACAAATTATTAAATTAATAAAGCATTTCTTGTCATAGTAAATTTATTAGCTTCAATAATAATAATTAATTAGACCCAAGCAGCATTGAATAAAAAACAAAAATCTGTTCATATTTGAATGAAATAAATAGTTTATTGAAAATAGTTTTTATATAGTCGTAATATATAGTCGTGAATCTAGTTTATGGAGATATATTTCTTATCCTTTACTTATGGTTTTGGTAGCCCTCTTTTATTTAAATAATTACCTATAATTTTTAGTCAGTAACAAAATTAACGTAAATATTTTGTTCTAAGACGTATCACAAACAATAAGATTCAGGGTAAACAATTAAAATCACGAAGAAATGAATATTTGTAAAGAGTTTAATGTAAAAAAAAATCATTTCATATCCACTTCTATAGTCATTGACAACAAACCAATCACCAATGATGTTTTATTATATTCGGGTGTAAACATTTGACCCTGAGGTTATTTAGGTTTGTGAAGAGAAAGTTTCGTAGAAAAACTATACTCTCCTAACTCGTTATTTAAGGTGGTACAACCACATCTATAATACATCTGAAATATATTTTTTTAATTATCCTAAAGGTAATAAATAGTATACAATTTTAAAAAGTTCCTTTTTAATGTTATTTTAGAGTCACAAAAATATATACATTTATAATTATGTAAGTTGAACTTATTTTATAATAGAAATATCATTACCAGATGTAAAACAAGTAGAATGCTGACAGCCAATCCTCGCCTCAGTCGCATCGTGATCTGTGAACAAAGACATACATATAACGCTTCTTGAAAGTTCAAATGTTTGTCTTGTACTCTTAGTTAGGGAAAGTACCAATAGATCGTGTTTCATTATGTATGTACATTGTGGGATGAACCTTAAACGATATCAATTTGCTTTATGATGACAACATTTCAATAACCCTGTTATAGTCGCTTATTACGGATTCAATTTATAAACTGGCTTAGAATTTTGACGTGCTCATGTAAGTACACTCCCACATATGAAGAATGGGGAATAAAAAACGCTTGTAAAGCTACAATTTCTCATAAAGCAGCGGCATCATTATTGTGATCGTTACCCACGTAATAAATTCTTATTTAATTGTAAGTACTCTTGACATATTGTGCTCAACCTCGAAGTGGGTTATGATATTTCTTATTTTTTCTTAAATAAGATGTAACTATTTGTTTGAAATAAATTTATCAAATCTTTTAGGGGTTAAAGAAGTTAGTTGAATCGGTGGTGATGGAAAATAACCCACCTTCATATATAAATAGTGTATAAAATGAAATCTGATGCCTGAAAGTAAATGAAACTCATCTTTTATTTGACGAATGTTCGAACATTCCAGAAATTGTTGGTGAGTGTACGTTTGTATTATGCATACATAGCTATGGTACGAGAGAAAGTACATATTTGAAGATGAACAAAATTTGTTTGAATTCAATTGGAGATTTCGATTTATAATAAAAAAATCTTCTTTGTCATTTATTTATTATTATTTATGGAGTCTTGTATAAATTTCTTCATATAAAAACGTAAGAGTTATGTTCATATATTACATATATTTTAAAATTGTCAAGTCTTCTATTGCATTGTACACATTTAATTTAATTCCTATGATGTTGTCATAATAATCTATGATATTGGCAAACGAAAAGCTAATGTAATATGTATTATGTAAAAAAATTATACTATGCTTGAAAAACAACATTTTTGTATAGTTTAACATAAATTGTTTCTCACTACTCATAGGATTTAAGGTTTTTAATAAACTTTTCATATCTGTAATGTCTATAAATGGAAAAATAAATGTTTGTTTCTATTAGTTTTTTCTTCATTAAATAATAATTTATATAACTAAAAACTTTGTTATCGTTATAACTCCATTATATATATAATTTAAGCAATAACAGGTTTCTAAACACATTTAATTTGTCCGCTTTTTTAACTAGGTAATGAGATGAGATGCGTTAAGAATATATTTAAAAAATTCAACCAAATAGCAAATTCCCATACTCCGGTTACTTTACTTTCACATTGACCTCAATAGAGCCCTTAATTTATAACTTTAATGTATATATATATGTACAATTTCATTCAAACATTAGACTTAATAAAATTATGCTGCTATAATTAAATGAATCTTTTGCTTTACGTTAAATTCTCTTATTTTCAAAATAACTATTTATTTATATATTAAAAGTAAATTCACGCAGCACATTTTATATTGAAACCGAGAGAAATATAAAAAAGGTTTTGCATCAATGAATTAACTGTGAACTCATTCTTGTTAAGAAATTCGATTACGGAGATTATCAATTCAAAGTTATTAATGATCTTTTATCTGAACGTATCATATTCACATTTTAATAAACCGATCTGATATTGGATATCATAATAAAATATTTTATATAAGCTGGATTTCGATTTCATTCTGATTTTCGTAAATCGTATGCGCTCTACAATTGATCTTATCATTCAATGTAGAATTATTTGTTATAAATAAGATAAAAAAAATGTGTGAATAACATTGATTCGTAATAAAACAAAAAATTGCTGTTATAATATAAATGATAGAAAAAGTTGTTTATATACATTTTAAGAGTTAAAGGAAAGAAAGTTTATGTCTGTATTACTATGAATATCTGTTAAAAATATGTATTTTTTTTAATTAATTTATCACATAAATGTGAATAATCTTTAAGAGAGCCCTAAAATTATATTTTCATACGAGAAAAGTAGGCTAAAATGCTAACTTATAATCAACTAGCTGAACAAAATTTATTTAATATTATCTTATTTACAAAATAAATTCTATACGATGTACAAAGCTAGACTTCAACTAGACGTAATATCCACTATCAGCGGACTATTTCCCCGGGCGTTAACCCCACTGAAAGTAAAAGTAAACGCGACAAAGAGCTGAAATGCATTCATTTGAATGCTTGAATGGATTTTATGCTTGAAATCTCTGATACGTGATTAATGTACTGATGATAATCTCTTTTGATGTTTAGTTATTCGATATGTCTTTTTGATAATACGTTTGACATAAATTGTAAAAAAGTATAAGTATAATTTTTTATTGAACGATCTTAGCAGTATCAACGTTCTTAGTCTCTATAGTCACGCCCTTGTTTAATTACAAACCCCTCTTTCAATAGTTCACTATAACATGACATTGGCAAAATCTATAAGGAGACGCCACTAACTAAAGAAAAAGAAGATTTTTTATTGTTAAATTTTGCACTGAAGTTTGAGTATTATAGAATAAAAGAACGGTAAAGTTTCTTGAAGTATATCAGGATATTGTTAGTAAGAGAATAAACTTAGAACGTTTGGTGAAAGTGTTGGGACTTAAATCTTATTTTGTATGAAATAAAGTAACTATGCTCATATGATATTATAAGTATCTGTTTATTTATTTAAATAGAACCTTCAGCGAAGACTTCGACTCCTCGACTATTTACCTCTGAATAAAATTGTAATTATATATGATTGGTATCTTTTGCCAAACAAACTATATTATAAATTAAAACATGTTTATTTTATGTGACATATGAGTATGTTAACAAAAATAACTATAGAAGTATCGAAATACTTCAACATCAGCCGATAAATACAGTTTAAAAATGCCAATTAAATATATGATAATAATCTGAGACACAGTAAGAGCAAACAAAACTTAAATGAAAGCCTCGCTATGTTTACACTTTCACTGTTGCTGTTACTGTAACGATAAAAGCCTTCATTACATCAAGTAAAAAATATTTTATCAATCACATGAAAATATAAATTGTATTAAGAGACGATATTTAATTGTGCATTAAAATACGAAGCTAAGATATTTTGTTTTAATTCAATGAGCTTTTATAGCAAAGCTGAAACATTTAAGACGTGATAGGAATATGTTAGTTGATAAATTATGAAAAATTAAGAGTGAGAATATAAGAGCGGATTTACTAGTATTAAAAATGAAGTATAAATTGTTGAATTGATCTATTTTTAGTCTTAGTAATTCTTTATATTTACATTTTGTTTTAATTAAAATCATGGTTTATTAGGTAACATGATAAATTATATACATATAAAATTACTGATTGAGCAATTAATCGTTCCTATTAACAATTTTTTAATAAAATAATTATGTTGTATTTTTTTAATTACGAGCACTTTTTGCTTTATATAGTTATAATGGAATCGAAAATGAATTCCACGGCATTTTTATCGCATTTCAAAGATAAAATCTGGTGATTAATTATGTTACTGGGTTTCATTATAAATAAACATTTTAAATGTATTTGTATAACAATTGTATTTATTTTTTAATGTATTTTTTATGCTTGATTCAGAGTAAGTAAGACGATACAAAGTTGTCTAGGAATGGAATCACATTCCACTGACAATTGTAACATTATTCATGAAAACAATGTATGTGAACCTGACGAACGAACACACAGACCTCTTGACACACTGGCGATATATGACATGAGATCATTACCTGTTTGTACATGAACCAGTAACCAATGTGAACCGACCCCTATATGGAATATAAGTATATGAAAAATGCATGATAGAAAATAGGTTTGTCGTAATTTAGTAAAAAAA